ATCTTTTTGTTTTTCGTGTGATCCAGCAGGAGTGACAAATATCGAAAAGCGCCCTTCATTATGAATTATGATAGCGTGTCTAATGATAACCCCTCGATTTTTGGTGATCGAAATTTCAAATGAGAGTGTAGATTATCCTTACTCGTAACTCAGATGGTGAGATGAGAATGAATTAAAAATGGACTATAATCGTATATACGAAAACAAATTCATACTGATATGATGTCAGTTGGGTTATGTAACCTCATTAATACATGGAATATTTTTAAAAGTAATGTATACTTAAATTTTTCAGAAAATGGATGTTGTTCATGTTTTAAATCTCAGTAGCTCAATTCCTTGACCTTGAACTCATCACAAAATGCATTCCCAACGAAAGATGATAAAAGACTTATGGAATACTGTATATTAGAGAGAACGATTAATAGATCAAGTCCATGCCAAAGCAATCTAAATGTGTAACGGGTATTCAGTGTTTGACAACGCTGCTGACTGTGACACTATTGTAATCGAAAGATACAAACATGACCAAATAAGAAGTCAGGAATGAAATAATTCGAGGTACTTTCGGAATGTAGTCAGTGTGCTGGGAAGCATTTGAGCCAATCTGATGAGTCATCACATGAGACGCGTAGCTACGTCCAGGAACGTCTTAAAGTTTTTTCTTACTCCATGGATCCATGACGTATGTAGTAATTATAACGATAAATGTACAATCATAAATTCTACACATGTCATTCGACTGCGGTTTTCTGACTTTTCAACCTGTCCTAGAAAATAAAGAAATGATAATGAAACTGAATGTCTAAATGCACTTGTACTTACGCAAACAAGCAAATCGTGCGAAAATAAAGTTATTTATGACTGTATAAACCATGAGATATCGAGAAATAATACACACCCTGGGGGTGTGTAAATAACCAAAAAACATCAAACATTGTTGTTGGGTACAACGTAAACTAAAATTGCAGCTAAATAACTGTAAACACAGAGAACATGGTATAAAATGACAGACTTGTGAAGTTTTCAACATGCAAAAGTCAGTCAAATGTTCTTGAAACCCCTTAGTTCTTCCAGAACGTGTCGTTTTATTGCTAGAATCTAGCGAAGCTGTGTCTTGATCGTTATCTATCATGAATCGCAGCTTAGTTTCGAGGATGTTTTGGTTCGATTGTGTAGTAGGACTGTCAACATTAATGGGGTTAACTTCTAAGAAAGAGGCTTCTAGCAGGTCGATGGTGACCGTTTCTTTATTATTATTATTATTATTATTATTAATATTATTATTATTATTATTCACAAACATCTTATGTGTACATATGTGTTGTGAAGAAACCATTTCGAGATTCTTCAAAAATGCAATAATACACAAGTTTCAATAAGGTCATTATTATATATGCCATGTTTGAAAAATGGAAAAATATAGAAATGATAATAGAATAATAATAATAAACCGGGTTCTGTGTAACTGATAGGAATATTGAGTGGAGTTTAAAGAGGGAAATGGAAAAACTAAGGGAATAGAAATAGGGGAGACGTGAAATACTCAGATAGTTTAACAGGTGCGTTTATGAACACGGGGCAAGAAAAAAAGACTATGTACGTATCGTCAAATGATTAACAAAAATGAATAAGAAATATAACTTAGTTCTGTGATTAAGGACTTAGTAGGGTCCATAGTATTCAGCTTCTGGGGGCCAACATTTTTAGTCGCGACCTACAAAAACGTGATTATTAGGTCGTCAAACAGGGTGAACCAACACACTGCTGATTGCGGTCGAGCGCACGCAGGTCTGACTGAACCCACCGCGTTTGTGAGTCTGCTCGTGCGATAATTAAGATTTACATGCACTGGAGAAGATAAAGGATTTGTAGTATCATTGATCCCTAATCACACGGTCCTTGAAGTAGAGCACACAACGTTCAAGAGGTCTTACATCCTACGTTTGACACTTGTAAAATTTCAAAATAGATGAGTGCGGGGACAAAATCGAGACCGCATGACTCAACCATGCAGGCATTATCATTTTATACCATCCCTCCCCGTTCGTAATAACATATTATTTTAACTCTAGCCCAAATATGTTCCTTAAATGTTCATAAAAGCTATACTGACTATCACGAAAAGATGGGTGGGTAAAGATGAAGATGTGTCCCCTACGTAAAGTTTTTTAGGTTAGACAGGCATATCATGGTAAATCCAGTGTTAGGTTAGGTTCATTAGTCTAACAGTACAGATAGATGCAATAATATCAACGCATATGTACATTCTACAAACATATGAGAACACCGAGCACCGTTTCATCAGTAACGTCCCTGATAAATACCGCTTCTAGCCATTGTGTGAAACAGTCCACACGTGTTTAGAGATAAGATTATCCATTTGAACATGGTCAGGGTTCCACCTAGTCTTGATGAAGACGTTCGAAACAGACACCAAGAGTTGCAAAACAGCCTACGGAACATTTGTTGTGTCCAGTCACCTTAGATTTCTACCACCTTACACGGGAGCATGCTCACTTTCCCACATTTTTAATTACACCCGGTCAGTGAAATCGACCTGTCATGAGCTGGATGGCTGCTCCGACAACTAAGTGAGAAAATTGGTGAAGCGTATTGAAGACACTGAGTCAATAGTGTTTCGTCACGATTGAACGATCCTTACCTGTTGACATATCACACATTCAAGTTTCCTTACCTGTTACTATCTGTTTACTTTGTAGTCTCAGAGTTGTCAAAGATAACTCGCTCTGAATATCAGTGTCTTCTTGAAGCTGGGCGAGTACAAGAAGGGTGATTAGTTAGAAATTGTTCAAGGAAATTATAAGAGGCAAGACGTCCGCCATTACATTAACGATCAGGAATGGTTTTCGCATTCAGTCACCGATAGTCACCAGTCGGACAACAATCATTGTTGTCCTTTTAGGGACTGTTTGATGGTCGAATAGTTCATAAGACTATCATGTGGTCTGTTACACCCGTGATCTGTCTATCCACTTTTGATGCTGAGGATAACTAGCCTAATCTAGATTAAGACCTTAACGCAATGGGCTGAGCTGCTTAACCTCGAGGCTGGTGGGCGTGAGTTCGAAATAGGGTAGAGAGAAGAAAACCATTATATCACCTGATTGCCTGACAAGCACGTGTGTGAGAGAAAACATGTCAACTGGAACACTACTCGATTTATTCTCAATTCCCGATTTCAGACCAGTGTAAAAAGATACATGAATAAATAGATGACTAACCCGACCACAACGTACAATAGTTAAGAAAATACAATATGTCCAGAACTGGGGATTAGCGTAGAAAATAGAGTACAAAACAATAAGTCCAAATTACAATAGCTTTGGAACAAAAAGGGCTATGGCAGTGAACCATACATCAAACGAAAGCTTATGTTCTGTAGAATAGACTAGGGACAAAAATAGAGGTTAATGTTCTACAAGCTTTGAATTGACAGAGATAGTGTCCCGGTCTGAGGGGGAGGTCTTCAGAATCCGACCGGTATGTCCATCAAAGGTCTATTGACCAATCACTTCTCATTTGTAGTAACATATCTGTTGCTGAGCCATGTTGTAGATCGATGTCGTTGAAGAGTTGATCTAAACCATGTCCATCGGTTAGATTGCCGCGTTTAAGAATAGTCTTCATTACAGTTTCGTTAGTTTCCGAGACATCAATAGTAAACATACTAGGTGTGACCTAAATATTGAACTCGTGCTTGAATGACTTCCTCACTGTGTGGAACTATGCACGTGGGTATGAAACTAAGTGTAAAGTACTTGTCTCAGGTCACGCGGCAATGCCATCACCGCTGCGAAGAACTTGCTGTGTAGATCCTTCACGCTGTGCTCGTAGAAGTCAGCTTCTGCGTTGCAGGACAAAGATTAAATATTATCAGGCCACAGTGGAATGAGTTGGAAAGTGGTTGACGCAAAAATCTTAGTCTTGAACAGTTTTGCTGCGTTCATACAGCGAATGATACAATTATATATATATCATCAATTGGTTTACCAAATGAAGCTGGACACACCTAGTTGTCTGGGTCTCTAGACTCTTGTAGGTCGCTGATGTAAGTGATCTACGTGAATGACCGCGGCGTACTCAAGTCTAACGGGAATCGGTGTGATCCAGCTTGTGTAGATGTCACATCTTGCGGTTAATACTCAGTTTAGATAATCCTATTGTGCGATACAGATTGGCATATAGTACAAGTATGCGGTAATACATGTGGGAATAGGTCTGTAACACAGTGCGATAAATCGCATGAGGTATCCTATAGCATAAGACCCACGTTAGTTATCATAGAATACGACCATGTTCGACAAACTACCTATAAATTATTTATCAGTTGTCTAAATTTGACCTGATTTAGCCCAAGGGATGAATTGTCTAGGACTCATTGACGTTACCGTGACCCTACACTATACCTTTGCGTTAGATTAAATCAAATGTAAATTTCTTATCATATGGGCAGCTTCATTATGATCTTGAGGTCTCTTAATAGTGATTTTGAATCTTACTTGACTTCATTTTTATTGTCTTTCGTAGTGACGTTAGTATGACAACACAAAAATAGTCCGTGGAATTGGAACAATGTATTTCCAAGCTGACTCCAGAATTATACCTAGAGTAGTGAACGAGAAAAACAGTTTCTTACCCAGGAGTATCTTATTTTTATGTAGGTGCATATAAAATAGGGTCTAATCATTTCGATGATCATCACTATCAATATTAACACAGGTTTTTCAGTCATCAACTTTTCCACCATGTAACATATTCAAGTTTGAGAGTGTTATCTGAAAACATGATAACATTATGATTTAATAATAAATCTCTACGTACATTATTTGTTCTGTAAAAACTCTTGTTTAAGTATTACTGATATCTGTAAAATTGTCATATGACGGTTGGAACCGTATATCATAGTTTGTTTTAGTCACTTGTTTTAAAATAACCACGCTTTGTAGTTCTCACTTCGTCTTCCTAAACTCGTGGCGATGGCTTCAACAAACGGCAGTACGGAAATTTCTCAGGCTGATAAGAATGTAGAAATGTGGCGGATCAAAAAGTTGATCAAAAGTTTGGAGTCTGCTAGAGGGTAAGTGATTTATGACCAGCCATTTTACATATTAGTAATGGGACGAGCATGATTTCGCTCATCATCCCTCCAAAGGATCAGATTACCAGGATAGCGAAATTGTTAGCCGAGGAGTATGGAACAGCATCTAATATTAAAAGCCGTGTGAATCGCTTATCCGTCCTGAGTGCGATAACTTCTGTACAACAACGTCTGAAGTTGTACACTAGAGGTTGGGATCAGTAATTTTTCATTTTTGTAGTTCCTACCAATGGCCTTGTTGTATATTGTGGAACAATAGTCACTGAGGATGGTAAAGAGAAAAAGGTCAACATCGATTTCGAACCATTTAGACCAGTAAACACGTCTTTATATCTTTGCGACAACAAGTTCCATACAGAGGTTTACTGATTTTCGCCACTTTAACGTAACTTAGGCCTTAGTAGCGCTGCTAGCAGATGACAGCAAGTTCGGATTTATTGTTGTTGATGGTAATGGGGCTTTATTTGGGACATTATCGGGAAACACTCGCGAGGTTCTGCACAAATTTACAGTAGAATTGCCGAAAAAACATGGTCGTGGAGGTCAATCTGCACTTCGTTTCGCACGTTTGCGGATGGAAAAGCGGCACAATTATGTTCGTAAAGTAGCCGAGACTGCAACGCAACTTTTTATAACAAACGATCGACCGAATATCGAAGGTCTCATCCTTGCAGGGATTGCTGATTTCAAGAGTGACTTAGGACAATCTGATATGTTTGACCAAGTTAGTGAAATGGTGAATAATAACATTTTTTTCAGAGGCTTCAAGCAAAGTTGATTAAAATAGTAGATATATCATATGGTGGTGAAACAGGATTTAACCAAGCTATCGAACTGGCCACAGATACACTTTCTGGCGTAAAGTTCATTCAGGAAAAAAAACTGATTCAAAGATACTTTGACGAGATATCTCAAGTGAGCCTCAGTATATTTGTTTTACCTCTTACAAAGGATAGTGGGAAGTACTGTTTCGGTGTTGAGGACACCTTGAAGTCCCTAGAGATGGGTGCTGTGGAGACCCTCGTGGTGTGGGAGAACCTTAGTGTAAACCGCTATGTCCTCAAAGTCCCAAATTCTGAAGGTTAGTATAGTAAAGGTAATAGGGAGTTGTTACTTCACTATTTCTACTACAATGTCAGGCGCAATTGTAAGTGATAAAGTGCACTTACAATCGCAGTGACACAAAATAACGTGATCAATCACATCGATCTCTTTCTTGAGGGAATTGAGATGAGTGTGATTTTGAGTCAGTGATTGACAAATCACAAGTCTTAGATTTGTTAGACCGAGACTCACACATGTTAAGGATTTTGTCACTGCATTATCCTGCTTGCTTGAATTTGCTTGCAGGCAGTACACGTGACATACATCAAATTGATGGCAAGGAACAATCTTGATGCGTTGCTCTGAATTGAGCAATTGCGTAAAGGCATGGTCCTACATTATATTTAGAGCGGTTTCACACAAAAACTTTATTTCTTTCAGGAAATAGAATTATACACTTGCGTCCTGACCAGGAAACAGACCGACGACATTTCGTTGACCCGGAGACAGGATCTGATTTGGAAATTCTAGATACCCAGCTTCTTTTAGACTGGCTCGCCCTAAACTACAGATCTTTTGGAACGACTTTAGAAATTGTCACTGACAAGTCTCAGGAAGGTGCTCAGTTTGTTCGCGGCTTTGGTGGTATAGGTGGTAAGTCTTTTTTAAATTCAACTGTTACACATCTTATGAACGTCTCGGTCAATTTTGTATGAGGTTCTCTAATAGATCTGTATATTGCTTACAGGGAATGTCAAGGCAACTTTCGTCATACGCAAACTGGTTAATGGACTCGGCACCTTAATATGTGTGCTCATATCAAGTTTTCTGCCCTGCTGGTAGGGATGTACAGTGTATTTTTCGTTGGTAAATGCTCTGAGTGAGACGGCAAATTGAGAGGTATTGAGGCGTCGAAGCCGCAGTCTCTTTGTTTCTGTAATGTTCACTGAAGAACGTAGTTTCCAGTCGTTAAATTATGTTCTATGGACTACTTGGATAACTTACATTAAGAAAGGGAATGATGAATATTAAACACAAATGAAATTGAAAAGTTGAAGAATGGACGATATACCTGTAGCATATAGATTTTTAGGCCGAGTCATTAACCTTCGAAGAACTGGTATCTACACATTCAATTAACCCATACAACACTAGGCACTGCGGCTTACCAAAAAATGACTAATATAGATCCATCAGCCATCTGCTCTCAGTACATCTGAGTAATCGTACCAGTATACACCTGTCTTTGATTGACCTGTTTCTAAGCTAACCTAAACTTCTAATGTATCTATTTCGTTAATTGAAACATCTTTGTCCAGTGCGATTTGATATTACGCATCTGTGCAAGTAATCAACAGGCAGCAGCAAATTATTTATTTTCAGGGGTAAAACAATTGTATGCTTTTATCCTAGTTGGGGTTCATACCCTGCAAAGCATAAATAGACTTCAGCGATGAAATACTATGCAAACGGAGAATGTAGAAGGGTCTTGAGTTTTGCTCATGTTTAGTAAGTTCTTACATACTTAAAAGTTATTGGTTTGCTTCTGTAGGTATTCTACGTTACCAACTCGATTTTAATCATTTGGCGGGTGGAGATGTTGATTTCGAGGATGACTTCAATCTTGATGATTACTGACAAACCAGTCCAACCTGTGGTTGGCGCAGGTTTCCGTACGGCCGCTCTCCATGGTTTGAACACAGGTTTCTAAGGATTATTCCCAAGGATAATTTTTGCAGAATTGAAAAACAGGCTTTTGAAGAGTTCAATTTAATTTCGGTTGTGATACTAAATAATTTTCTTAGTTGTTAAATGTAGTTTTTTTTTATGTCCTTGTGCTTAGTTTCAGTATGGGAATCAAATTTCAATTCTGCGAGATGGATGTAAGCACTGGTTAGAATCGTTCGACTTCACATTAGCACCTAAAAATGTTAGTTAAGTAATATGAAAACTAGCCGACAAGATTCACCACTTCACTGTCTCAAATAATATGTCTACTTCATATAGAAATGCATCTTATACTACGTCCCCTAAGTTAGCCTTATGATGCATTGTCGTACTTTATGGGACTAGTTTTCTTAAACTCATTTGTGCGTTTGCATTGCTAGCTTTTATATCAACACTACCAAGCAATGAATCGTCCTCTTAAGCTTTGCGTGAATCTAAGTAGTTTTCTCTGGACACTGACTGCGAGAGTACGTTTTGCCACTTCTGTCAGAATCAAATTAATCCAAACTCATGACGAACTATCATCTGCTTTCGCAACGTTAGGTAGTGTCCGTCATGATTGTTCACCATCTCCGTTTTTGTTCCATTTAACACTAGACATACTGCTGGGAATAACGTTCTCGTCGACTCTATTTTCGGTATTTATCTCCTTCCAAGACGTCTACTTACCGACTTAGGGTACGCAGGTGATATAGTGTTGTTTTGGTGAAGGCGATGGTAGAGTGCAGTCTTTTGGTAGCACTGAGCAACAATGCCAGGATGCGTTCCTCCCCCTCATAATATAAGTTGTTGCTCCAGGACTGGTCTGCGTCAACACCTGATCTAAGGATAGGCAGTAGAGTAGTCGGGCGCGTTGACAACTTCACTTATCTTGGAAGTCTGATCAACCGTAATGGTTTGGTGTCTGGCGAAATCTCAGTACGGATTCAGAAAGCTCGCTTGGCTTTTACCAACTTACGCGACCTATGGCGAAGGTGAGATATTCGTCTATCAACTAGAGGACGAGTATACTAAGCAGCAGTTCTGCGTGACTAACGTAACCAATGGTTGGAGACTGACATGGCTCCGAATCGATCACAGTGACTTAGGTGTATATACTCTCTGTCTTCCCTTTTATATATTCCTACCACTGAATTAACTACTATGAATCCGGTGTTCATCTTGTCGTGGTAATGAGGTGTGGTAACTTGGACTGATGCACATATGTGCTGGTCCTGCGTTATGGCTCACTGAGTGACAGCAGGCAAAATACTAGATTTGTATGTTTTCGAAATATGGCAATTTTAGGATCTTAGTTCCTGCATCAGGACTCGTCATCCATATGTGCAGTAGTGCTGGTGCATCCTGCTAATAATCCCCCAATCAGGGAAATTTTATAGCTCTTCACATCCCTTAGGTATTCAATCACCTAACTTTGAACAATATCAAGATGCTAACTTACGGTGCTCATATGACAGTATACCGATCAAATGCATTCCTGAATATCATGTAAGGAAATACATGTAAATGTAGGGAAACTGGTATTAAACAATTTTTAGGGCTTGAAAGCATTTCGAATAGGAAGGAAACGTTAGCAGCTACTTAAAGAAGGACTATGTATGTGCTACGTTTACTAGATAAGCACAAATATGGACCTAGAAGTCTATATTATGACTAGAGTTCCCGTTTAGAATCAGTTGCAAGTCTCCTTGTTTGTGCTCTTCAGATTATTTAGCTCTTACAAAATTAAGTGGCTTTTTGGTTGTCTACGTGGAATATTAACATTTTTCTTCTCGGTAACTGACTAAATGTATTAGAATCAAACACTACATACGCAAAACATAATCTAACGAAAAATAATACAATTTGCTTGCCAATCATAGATTGTTGTTTTCTGATTCGACAAGTTCATGATCAGAGGCGATTCAACGAATGATTCGGTCTCGATCACATTGTTATTATCAGATTTTAGAATTTTGGGAATATCTGTCTGTGTAGCAATTCCGACCCTTTCAAATATCTGGTGATATAATTACTATCGAAATTGACAGTTTTCCGGGACGTCAAACATAGGAACCTAGCGGAAATCATGAGGTTAATGGCTTGACTAGGAAATGTGAACATTTGGTTATCTTCATTCAGAAACTTGGGGTTGATACCAACGTCTTTTCGATATCTTCAAACAATTGCACCGTATACTGAGAACCTAAGACTACTCGTTGGTGTTACGGTTATACTTTCGGCTTGATAGCATCAATATAATTTATATCACTCATTTGAACTCAACTTTCTGTGGTGTGCACGACTTTCGAACTATTGGTTGGTTCAGATATCTCCACCTTGTGTTTCTGTCGTGTCATTTATCAATCCTAACTTCAAGTTTCATATTGGAGTCAACACTGGACTTCTGGCGAAGTACCAGTTGATAACTGCGAAGTCAAGCCTCTTAACTTAATGATCGGTGTTCCTTCTAATCTGTTCGGACCGCGACAGTATTCCGTGAGGCAGGTAATTACAATTAATCGATCACTATGTAGTGATATGTGGCGTTTGTTCAGTCCTTTATTGATAGTCTAGACGAGTCACTTAAATTAATGTCCACGTTGTAACTTGGTCGACTTGACGGACAAGGTTGCTCACTATTCAGTGATGAGTCAATTGTAGATAGGCTCAATTCTTAAAGCTAAGCAACCCAGTTCAAGACTGCTCGCAGAAAGTAATTTTGATTGAAATATTCTGGTAGTAGACCAATTACCACTGGGAGAAATAATACTGTCCAAGTTCGCCCACTATTATTTTAGCCACGTTGTTCATCACTATTATCAATCATATTAACTTGGTGTACGGAACAGAAAAAATTGAGACCAAATAACCCTAAAAATGTGCGTACTTTCATATATCCTTATACAATTAAAATTATTACTAAGTTTTTACTGAATGCGTGCTAAATATACGAGGATGTAACATGTATCGCAACTAAAAAAATCGCTACTACCTATCGTGACATTTGCAAAAATCAATTTATTTATTATAATTAGTTACAGTAATGACAAAATTTATAGCTGAGAGTCGATCAAATTTAATTTGTAGTCATTATAACAGTTGGAGGGTTACGTTTTCAGATAGCTGGTATATTTAACGAAGCATGAGCACAATCATGTTGAACATCGCACCACAAGGTTACTTAAACCTACCAACTTATAATTCACGCATAAATAACAAAAGATCCATTAGCACTGCTATACTCCAGTTGACAACTTTTTTTAAGAAATGATCCACAAATTTCTTAATTAATTGTCATTACATCTTTGAATTTTCGTAAAGAGCTAACAAGTGAATCAACTTTGGAACACATGTCGTTTAGTTGATTAAGATAGTGTTTAATTCACTCTTAATATTGTCGATAATTTTTTATCTTGAGGTAGAACATATAATGAAATTAGAGACAGTCATTCAGCAGCAAGTGTGGTGTAAGACCACTCCCAACATCAGCTTCAAAAAGAGTATCAGGACATGGGAATAGGTAATAACAGAACTCTTATTATGTGAAGTATTTGGGCTTCTCCGGGCTCGTTTTTCTGACAGTCGACCCATATTGCTTTTAGTATGAATTCGAGAGCTATTTATGAGTTATAAACTAGGATTCAATGATACCCAAACAATGTATATTAGATATCGTGTTATCGTAACGCAAACTTCAAACGTACCGGAACGGCCATGAAGAAACCAACTGCAGGAAAAGAACTCATAAACGACATTCTTCGAAACCCTACTCCAAGAAATACAAATCTAGTGCACTATCTAACAAAATATTGATACCACATAATCGAGCACAAATTCACCATCAACGGAAGTATTTCAACGTATACATAAGTAAAAAGCGTACCCGTCTGCAGCTGGACACTGCTTCTGACATCACACTTATTAGTCGAAGAGTAGGGAATCTTTTCAGAAAACCCCATTCGCTCCCAACAAACCAGTTAGCTCATAGTGCATCTGAAGTGAAATTAAACATTGTTTGTTGTACAGTTTAGAAAGGAAACGCAAAGACGAATGCAACGTTATATCTCACAGATAACTCAGGTCTAGATTTCCTGGATCTAATAGAATTACTACAACTAGCAAATCACTCCATTGACCTCATATACGGCACCGTAAAAGCCCATAAATCAGTGGAAAAGGATCTGAAGGAAGTTGTGTCGGAAAGACATAGTCAAGTGTTTACGGAAGAATTTGGGGGAGGAAAAAGGTAAAAAGACTACCGATTCTTAAACCGGGGGTCACCCCGTGTTCAGAATAAAACGTCTGGTACCCTATACAGCGCTGCCAATTGTTGAACAAGAATTGGAGATTCTGCAAAGAAATGGAATAATGCAACCACCAGCAGTGATTGTCAAAAAGCAAAATGGAAATATCCGGCTATACGCAGAGTATTCGTTAGGATTAAATAAAGCCCATAAGTACCCTTTGCCGGTAAAAGAAGATTTGTTTACGAAACTGAAAGGAAGTGTTTTGCAAAATTAGACCTATCGAAAGCTTATCTACTGATTCAAGTAGCGGAAGAGTGTAGGCATTACTTGAAAATAAACACTCATAAAGGGTTGTTCCGATATAACAAAATTTCTATGGGAGTAAATACTGCCCCTTCAATCTTCCAACAAGTTATGGATACTATGTTACAAGATATTCCTGGTACCGCAGCCTATCTTGATGACATACTGATCATGGGTACAGGCTATGCTGACTTAGAGAATAAAGTAGACACATTTCTAAGACGCATAGGAGATTATGGGTTCAGATTGCATGCTGAAAAATGTGATTTTTACGTGGAGCAAGTCCGCTATTTACGATTCATAGTCAATAAAAACGGTTGAAAAATTGATCTTTAAAACATCGGAGCTATCAAGTCCGTGTCTCTACTGACGGATGTATCAACTTTACGTTCTTTCTTGAGAATGGTTAGTAATTATGGCGTTTTACTTTTAGATCTGCATCAACGTGCTCCTCTTAATTTCTTAATGAAAAAGGATACCAAATGGTTCTGGTCAACCGAATGCCAGGAAGCATTGCTAAA